CAGGAGCTGTGGGACCGTCACGGCAGGGGCTGGCTTGTGGCCAGAAGCAACGGCAGGGTCAGCTTCCCTGAGTGCAAATTTGGTCTCAGGTTGTGGCTTTTGTTTGCAGTTCACTATGCGAGACCAGTGATCATCCTGGGGCCAACGAAGGACCGGATTAACGATGACCTCATCTCTGAGTTTCCACATAAGTTTGGTTCCTGCGTGCCGCGTAAGTCCCAGCGGGTGTCCGGTGCCCTCGCCACTGGGAGCGCTGCAGGGGGAAAGGGAGGGTGGTTCTCCCACCCATGGGGTTTGAGCCTGGCGGCCAGCGGCGTGGGGAAGGAGGGCCACGGGCACGCAGGCTGACGACCTTGCCTGGAAACTGGCGGTTCGCTCACGAAGCCTGCTCTCCTTCAGACACTACCAGGCCTCGGCGTGAGAACGAGGTGGACGGACAAGACTACCACTTCGTCGTATCCCGGGAACAGATGGAGAAGGATATTCAGGACAATAAGTTCATAGAGGCCGGGCAGTTCAATGACAATCTTTACGGGACCAGCATTCAGTCAGTGCGGGCAGTGGCAGAGAGGGTGAGTGTCAAGCAGCACGGCTGCGTGCCCGCGACTGTCGCTGTGCCAGGCAGCGTCTGGCCCAAACCTGGACACGTTCGCGTTGCTCTTCCTCTCCCCTTGCTGTTAGTGAAGGGCTGTAACCATGTTAAGCAAGTGAGGAATGAGCCTCTCCTCCCTGCAGAGCCCTGCCAAGCCACATGGCTGCTTTTCTCCATCGTGTCACTCCACCTCGGTGTCTTGTCTCCTTTTTCCAAACTCCACCCAGAAGCCTGGCACCGGCAGCACCAGCCTCATGTTTGGGAGTTCACGGGGCAAAGGTGCCCAGCGGTGGTTGGGGGAGCAGAAATACTGTCTGTGCAGGTGTACCGGACTGTACCGGCGGCTTCTAAATAATGCTTCAAACGTTCAGAGAGAGTCAGTCCCTTAGTGTTGCTGCTGCTGCCCTGCCCTGAGCAGGCAGGAATGTTAAGGCCATTGGGAGTTGGCTCGTGTCTCAGGGCTGGTGTTTCATCTCCCTGTCTCCTCTCTTTTGTAAGCATGTCTGTAGGAGGAAGCTGCTTTTTGCACAGAGCAGGCTGTGTGGGTAGGTCTGACCCTCATCATCTCCTTTCCAGGGGAAGCACTGCATCCTGGATGTATCTGGCAATGCTATCAAGAGGTTGCAACAAGCACAACTTTATCCCATTGCCATTTTCATCAAACCAAAATCCATTGAAGCGCTCATGTAAGTGCAATGTGTGTCCTTGGCCTCTTTGGGGCAACTAGCCCAGGAAAGTCGGGGCTTCGTGTTTCTGCTGCCTCTGGTTCTTAGAAAGCAGCAGAGGCTGCTGCTCGTGCTGAAAGTTTCCCTGTTAAGAGCAGCTGGGACCGTTGCCGTCTGTGGTGACCCTCCACATCCCACGGCAGGTCTAATGCCATGGTGCATCCTGTCTCCGTGGACTGCTCTGGCTTAAAGCCCTTCATTTGCACCCGAGAGGATAGGCAATGTAAAAACGTTTACAAACGTGGCCGATGTAACCGCCTCACCTGGGTGCTTGAATGTGGCCAGGAGAGCTGCCCATGGTCCATAGTGCTGGATCACAGCTGGGTGGTGGCAGAGCCAGGGACAGCCCTAAGGGACCGCAGAAGAGAGACATCTCCTGCGTGCCTGAGGGAGACCTTCTGCTTGTCCTGCCGCTCGCGACCCCAGGAAGCACAGGGCGGAAAGGACATGAGCGCTGAGCTTGCAACTCTCTGGAGCAGCAACAGAGAATATTATCTGTGAGGAAATTTTGTGGCTAGAGATGGACTCTGAAGATCAGACTAGATTCTGCTGGCACTAAAGGGACTGGGAAAACCCCTTGTCAAGCCAGAAGTGGAATTGCTTATTTTTGGTATTGTATAAACCTGAGGGTACCTAGGCAAGGAGGGTGGCAATACGCTCTGGAAAAGCAGAGAGATTTCTTCAGCGGTCCTGAAAATTCGGAGGATTGTCTGGATTTCAGTCCATGTCTGTGTTATGGTGAAATGAAAGGACGGTGACAATAGAAGGAACTTTATGTGAACAGCCGAGGCAGCAAAAGAGCATGTGAGGATGGGTCCTGCCTTTCTGAGCTAGGTCTTGCACAGCTGCCACTGTGCAGAGGGTTCCCAGGCACCCTTGGTCTGTGGGGGGGGGGCTAGTTTTGCTTTTTTTCGCTGCTAAGAAGAAAAGGTAAACTTGTACTTTTTGTGCATGGCAGGGAGATGAACCGGAGACAGACATACGAACAGGCCAACAAGGTCTTCGACAAAGCCATGAAACTCGAGCAAGAGTTTGGAGAGTATTTTACAGGTGAGTGTCCCAAGTAGGCTTGTGTCTGTTTTCTTCTGTTTTTAAGCTGGCAGCTGTGACCTCTTTCCCAGCACTGTCGTACTGTTGGGTCATGGGAAAATGTCCAGCTTCACCAAAGCGAAAAGAAATGGCACTCTGCCAACGTGGCTCTGCAAAGGGACTGTTCGGAGATCAGAGGATAAGAGTAAACCCGCTCTAGAGAAGGAGACAAGTTGTTAGGCAGGATTTTCTCAGTTGGTGAAAGCCTATCACCAACTTTAATTTAAAAAAAAAAAGGCAGGGGAAGCACAGCAAATATGCGTGGTGCTACACGGCTGCAGGAAATAAGACTCCCTGCACGGGGGAAAGGGAGCATATTCAAAAAAGAGAAAAGAGTCATTTTAAAGAAGCAAGATGAGAAGTCACCTAAATGATGAAGACTGTCCTGGGTTATTACGAAACATCTCTCAAAAAAGACTGGAAATTTGGCTGACTTCCTAAGCAGTCTTTGCTGAAGAGTCAGTCCCAGGCTGCCTAGCAATCCGTGCCTGCACAAACGAGCAGCTCATGACACAGGCATCCTTGTGTATTAAGGAACTAATGTTTGTAACCTGTGATTAATCCTGGAAAATCATGGGCAGGCAAAGGGGCAGAGAACCTGATCTTCGCTCCAATATGTGATAACTGTTTCCTCTGAAGTGAGGAGCGATAATCCTGCCAAAAACTGCATTACCCACCTAACAGCTACTATGACAAATTCCAGGCAAAACATTTACCAAAAGTGGATCTTCGCTGAGAAAATGTATCTGTACAAACAGGGTAGAAGCCTTCCCCAGAACTTCTGTCACAGGGAGCCGTTTCCAGAGCTGTAGGGTGCTTTTTCAAGAACCGCAAAGGAAATGTGCCTTGTGGTTTTTGCCAAAGCCATGGCATACCATCGTGCAGTCTCACCTGGTGAGCAAGTTTGGAGCTGACCTGGGAAGGAAATGCTCGTGGGTAAAATGCACCGTTGGAAGTAGTCAGGGATGTGCAGAGATGGACGTTGCAGGGAATGCTGTGCCAGGAACTTATAATTGGGGAATGGAGGTACTGGAGGACAGTCCTGGCTTGGCTGCAGCGAGGGGCTGAGTTACCAGAAAGTCCCATGTGTGTCTTGCTCTGCTGATGTAGGAGGCACAGTGACGTTCTTAGTGTCGCATCCCGAATAAGCAGCGAGGTTGTTGCTGGTCTTTGGGAAAGCATTAATCTTGGCAGTGACAGCAGTGAGCTGGCCTGACCCAGGGTACATGACAGTGCTGCGGTTCCCACCCCATGGTGGATGAAGTAGCAAATGCGAGGAGTCCTCAGCAACGGGCCAGACCAGATGGACAAATGCGGCACCTCTAGGTACGCGTCTGGCGCGCGCGTGCGGAGGAAGGCCCTGCCGTTCATCGCAGCCGCGTGGCAGGGAGGGCGAGTGTGCAGGGGCAATCGCTGCCGTGGTGTGACACGGCTTGCAAAGCTGATTAGCAGCCCGGCTGGCACCTCGTACACGTGAGCAGCTCTGCCAGTGTGGGATCAGCATGAGCTCGCTCTAATCCTCTTGGACACGCTGGTTTAACCCTCTGTGTCACCGCGTGCCTGTTGTAGCTCCTTTGACATGGGTTGTTTCATTCTCTCGTAACTGGGTGCGCTATCCCAGCCCCTTTGCTGCGGACAGGAGGCTGAAGGTGTTACTTGTTCTCTCCTCTTTCAGCCATCGTACAAGGAGACTCTCTCGAAGAGATCTACAGCAAAATCAAACAGATCATTGAGGACCAGTCCGGGCACTACATCTGGGTCCCGTCCCCTGAGAAACTCTGAAGATGTCCCTCATCTGCTTCCCTATGAGCAGAAGATCTCTGAAGTCCCACCCCACCCAAGCCCTCTGCCCCAAGGGGGGGGATGTGAAAACTATTCCTGCCCCTTTTTTAGATCGTCGCAAAATTGAGTTTTCTAGTCCTGTTTCTTTTGTTGGGATGAACTGAGCTCATTCATCACGTGACTGTTCCCACCATTCCTGCATGGACCTTCCCATTGCTCCATTAGAGACAGATGAGAACCCATTCAAGAGTCGTTTTTTATTATTATTATTATTATTATTATTAACTAAACCAAGAATCAAGATGGGAGGCAGCAGCTAAGGACTAATGTAAGAAACAAGTGACACAGCGGACTCTGAGAACACGAGCCAGCAGCAGAGCTCCAGGGGCATTTTTCCAAGCGTGACTGTCTAGCAGCTCTGAACAGCGCAACAGAAAGGCAGCAGAAAGCATTTTATTTATCTGTATATGTAATTTATATATAATAGAGAGATATTATATATATATTAT